GTACAGCAGAGGAGGCGATGGAATGCATAATATTATAAATAATATTATAATATCAATAATTTATTTTAGATATAGCATTATTTATTTTTTATTATTATTATCATTAGTTATTATTTATTAAACTTGCATGCCGCCCGACTCTTAATGGGTCACAACAATCCAACAAAGAAATTACAATAAAATCAATACAACATAAAAAATATAAAAGATGACAAGCACTTTGAAGGGAGGGGTCTCACTCTCCCTGGCAGAGATACTGTATATAGATATATGCAGACAGACACACACACACACACACAGCATACAGAAACAGACAACGTCATGTCTCTGTCTTTCATACATGCATTATTTAGTAAATATTATAATATGTGCTGATGGCTTAGATGTTAATGGGTGGGGGGGTGCTGGAAATGAGATTTTTATAGGGTCCTCGACTTGCTTTTCTTTAATTGTTGCCCATGTTTTATTTTTGTCTGCCGCCCAGAGTTCCACTGCTAAGAGGGGCAGCCATATAAATTGCATTCAGAGATTAAAAGATAAATAAATATTATATCTCTCCTTCCTTCAGTGTCTGCCGTTTGTCCTCTGAGTCCGTGCAGGCTCTTAGGTCTGAAGTCAGCTGTGGAAGTACGTCTGGCCGGCCAGCCCCAGCACCCTCTGAACTGGCTCACTAGGTATCTATTGGCCCAACCGCTAACCTGGATTAGCAGCACCTTCCTTGCTTGGTAGGGGCTTAGCAAGGGGTGAGAAGTAGGTTTCTTCAGCCGGTTTTTGGTTTGGGGGTATCTTAGCATGGGAACTTGGGCATGGGTGTATGCATCTAATGGTTTTATGCTTTTATGGAGCCTCAATAGAGTTTTAGTTGGTTTTTTGTTTTAACAATTTTCTTATTTTGCCGCCCAGAGTTTCTTCAGCCGTATAAATTGGATTCATAAATAATAGGTTGATAAAATAAATAAACCCACAAACTAGTTAATTCAGTAAGCAGGTCCCAGGGTTGGGCAAACTCAGCCAAACAGTGACATGGAGCTCCTTAAGAGTGCTTAGACCAGGTGCAATGTTCAGCTATAGGGTTTGAAGATGAAGATGATGTTATGGTTGGTCGCACAGTTGGCCAGGTGTTTAGACTAGATTTGGCATTTTTGTCCACCCATCGAGTCCTTCCCAGGGACCTGGGATAGGCAGATGTTGTTGTTTGATGGCGTTAAAGGTATCGTGGCAGGATGGAAGCGGTTCCAAGTAAAGCTGCCTTTTGCAATGGACAGATGGCAATTTTGATTGTTGTTATTAGGCTTGTTATTTGTGCTCTCTGATCATGTCCAACTCTAAGCAGCTTAGAGATTTTAGGCAATCTTGATTTATTAGAGAACTTTTTCCTTGCTTTGGCATTCTGTGCATTCAAGGTTGCTTGCAGCCAGGTGCAAAGAGTATTGTATTGCTGTAAGCTGATCAGGAATCTGGCAACACAGTTTTTTTTATCATCATCATCATCATCTTCTTCTTCTTCTTCTTCTTCTTCTTTTTATTTCAACTTTTTAAATATATTTGGTTAAGTCAAGGTGGCGTACAGGCCTAATACTGCTGCCTCCTATTTTCCCTGCAACAAGAACCCTGTGAGGTGAGTTGGGCTGAGCGAGAGAGACTGGCTCAAAGTCACCCAGCTGGCTTTCATGCCTAAGAGAGGACCAGCATTCACAGTCTCCTGGTTTCTAGGCCAGCACCTTCACCCCCCCGCCCAAACAGACTAACCAATTTTGTTCAAAGGCCTAAGGGGTCCCTCCATCCAATGCATGATGCAATTGCAAATGGAGGTTATTCAAAAACAATAAGGGGTATCAGTTTAAAAAACACTTGAGAGAGACCAAAATTGATGATAAGGTGCTGGGCGTGGGAAAGGACCAAGCAACCCCCCCCCCCCCCCCCCACTCCCCTGCCCTCTTTCTTCTTTCTCCCTCTTCCTTTTTCTCCTCTCATTCTCTGCTCCCGTGTTTTTTTCCGAGCTCATC